CCCCAGAGCCGGCCAGAGGTGAGGGGCAGCCCCTGCTCTGCTGCTCCACGCCCCCGGGGAACCAACCTCAGAGCCCCCACTTTGCCCCAACTGCCCCAGCTGCTGGGTACCACCGAGCTGGGTACCATCAAGCCACCAGACTGGGTACCACCAGGACGGGTACCACCGAGCCACCAGGTGATGTACCACTCGGTTGGGTACCACTTAGATTGGGTACTGCTGAGCCATTGGGTAGGGTACCACCAAGCCACCAGGTCATGTACCACCAGGTCAGGTGACATTGGGTTGGGGACTACCAGATCTGGTACCACCAAGCTACCAGGTCAGGTACCACCAGGTCAGGTACCACTGGGTCGGGTACTACCAAGCCACTGGGTCAGGTACCACTGAGCCACGAGGTCATGTATGACCAGATGAGGTACCACCAAGCCACCAGGTCAGGTACCACTGCGCTGGGTACCACCAGATCAGGTACCACCAAACCATCAGGTCACGTACCATCACATCAGGTACCACTGGGTTGGGTGCCACCAAGCCACTGGGTCAGGTACCACTGAGCCACCAGGTCAGGTAGCAACAAACCACTAGGTCACGTACCTGACCACCAGGTCAGGTACCACTGTGTTGGGTACCACCAGGTCAGGTACCACTCCATTGGGTACCACCAGATCAGGTACCACCAAACCATCAGGTCATGTACCACCACATCAGATACCACTGGGTCGGGTACCACCAAGCCACTGGTTGGGGTACCACAACCATCAGGTCACATACCACCAGACCAGGTATCACCAACCCACCAGGTCACGTACCACCACGCCAGGTACCACTGGCTTGGGCACCACTGAGTTGGGTCCCACCCAATGGAGCCGAGGATGCAGACCTTGGGGTTCACCACCCCCTGGTGCCTCCTCCTCTCCCCCATCTGCCCCCCAACGAAGCCACCAGGCCCTACGGGGAGCCGGCCACCCATCGCCAGCCACGTTTCCACCTCATCCCCCTACAGCCACTGGCTGCGGTCAGTGGGCTCCACCTGGTCCGTGCCCCCCTCCATGCCCGCCGCAGCACGGCTGCACCCCACAAACACCCCCGGATCGGGCTCC